CCAAAATCAATAATTTTATTAATATTTGAAATGTATCTATATTGTGATAATATTCTACGTTTTTATGAATTGTTATTTGTCTTTATTTTATAGACTGGTTCACTTTTATAAAAAGCAGCGTTTTAAGGGTGCGTTTGCACGCCATGGTGTAAGAAAAGTGAACTAAGAAGTATTTTTGAAATATTCGTTGCTTTGTGCTGCCATCCCGAATCCGCGATCCCTATTTGTACTTCGTTAGGTCGCTGACACTCGCATACATTCGTCTTGAGATAAAATTAAAAAAAAATAGTATTTTGCTTATCTTTGGTTACCACTTGTAACTGTAAATATCGTTCCGTAACTCTAAAAAGGGAATTTAGTGATCTTGCGAAATAAATTCTACCTAAAAATACTTATTTACCATAATATGCGGTTTTGTTCAGTAATTCAATTGAATGCCAATAACAGTGCCTAATTGTAATTCCTGAAATGCCATTCAAAGTTGGGTTATGTTATGGATTATGTTTACCTGATTTTCTATTAACTGCAAAATAACAAAAAAAAACAGTACCTACCTAGGTAAGTAAAGTTGAGGATCTTTATTTTAATATAGTTCTATTAATGGATTGTTTTAGGCTATCCTTCGACTGTACACATTTCCGAAGATTGACTTCCGACACCGAGTACATTTTTTTCCGATTATCATTTTACCGAACGATGTCATTGCAGTGCGTTTATATAAGGCCATCGGTCACATCATGGTCAGAACACGGTGCGGTCAATTATTGTAACCGTGTATTTCTGTACTGTTCATGTTCTGACCGTAACCTGACCCGATAATAATGTGAATCGGCCTTAAGGAATACTCAGCCTTTATGATCACAAAGGACAATCCACGCAATATTTTTAGGAAAACCAGATTTGCAAGTCAGCAATACTAACTCATAATTGAATGTTATTTGTTTGGGTGTGAAATCATATTTTGATATAATACCGATAACATTGAGATCCTTCACTCAACGATTGAATTATTCAATGCCGATAGTATGTAGTTCATTCAAATTATGGGAACCAAGATGGCATCCAATCGGTGGGGTTTCGTTATTATTAATAGTGCTTAAATTTAGTTGTAAGTGACGTGTACATTTATTATCGAATAAATATATAATCTTCAGTTACTGATTTCTTGCAGAGTTGTCTGATAGCACTTCCGAGGTGTAAATACCATCGTACAAGTCGACAGTGCTATTAGATAGCAACTTGGGCGAGAGTATTCTTGCCCATAAGTAGCGCTTCGTCTGGTAAACGTAAGCAGTATTAACACTGTATTATCAATTCAGAAACACCATCCCACATAACCTCTTTTTGTTGTAAGCTCTGAAATTTTTATATTAATTAATTATAACGTAGAGTGAAAAATCCCATGATCCTAAACTCAATGTTTATAAATACTTCTTTTGCCAGTTTCCTAACCCAAATTTTGAATGTAGGTAACGTTAACCAGTGTAATTCCTACTTATGGTACGGTTTTTTGCTGGATACATTTTATCTGCATTAATAACCAACAAAGCCAATAAAAGGAATAAGTTATACTGCTAAAAAATAGATACATTAATACATTCCAATAAGTACTCCAGTTTAAATTTCCCGCTTTGTAAGAATAGTATACCGTAGCCATCTTAGTGGATACACGTTGAACTACACTGAGCACAGATTTCTTTTCTATAATTGTTTTACGAGTTATTTTCAAGTGTACGGAGTTCATACCGTTTGTGCTTTAGAAACCACATATTATCCATTTTTACATCACGTTTTATTCCTTATATGTTCAAGAATCTGGAGAAACAATTTATATTTCAAAAACTTCTTTGACCTTTGAATTATACACAAAAGGTTGCCATTGTAATCGAACGTCTACTTTATACACTTTCAGAGAATGAGCTATGAGTTTTAATGCAATATAAACCGTTCACTCATAATTTACATACATTTAAGAACAAGAAATAACAAACATTTCCGAAAAAAAATGTATATTTTTTAAAAACGGTATGAATTCCGTTAGGCATGTTTCCCATAAGAAAGCTATTGTGAGATAGGCAACACACAATACTGATAGCGCGCCCTTAACAGGTTCTAGGGGCATTTCAGACAACATTTGGCCAAATAGGCGTTTTTTACTAATTTAGACCTGCTGAACACGAATATCGATGTTGGCATCTCGAAATCTGAAGAGGAAGTTCAGAATTCAAGATGGCGGCCAATTTCCGAAAATGTTGATCTTTTCACTCATGCGACCGATTTTTTCGAGCTAAAAACGGATTATCATGTATTCCTGACGGATGTACGGCACGATAATAATAGTGAACAAATGTTTAAACAATGATTCCATAGTTTTTCTAAAGTCAAAGTGCGTAAAAGTGGAAACCTTTTTTTCATAGTAGCTACCTACTGTTTAAATTTGTTCACATCGTGTAATTATTAAATTATTTCTGTTTTGGCAAGCATTTTGGTTCCTGTGCGTCGTGTGATAGATATCATCGATGTTCCATTACCTCACATATGGAAGAATTTCCATTCATTAGAGGAAAACAAAAGGAACGAGTTATTGACGCATCCGCCTAATTTCACGGCGTACTGGTGATTGCTGGAAGCTTCAGTGATGAAAGAAAAGTTTTATGTAACCGTCAGAGGACACAGATTTCCTCCTTAGAAGCTTTTCACAAGGAAGCGGATACTAGGATAACGCTACATATACAGATATATTTCTGTTGCTTCTTCATCACTTCGAGAAAATACTGGCAAACTAAGTTTGGTTGCTGACCGGTAATTCAAGAAAGATATGTATTTGTTCCTATCCATAATGATGTGCAGAGGAATTGGCCAAAAGCAGTAGTAACGAATATCCTGTCCTTTTACGCTATCACAGGAAGTGATGTCACGTCATTGCTGTTGTGAATTTCCACGTTGGATGCATTTATTTATTTATTTATTTTTGACCTTTATTTTTAAGCAGGAGGGGTTTCAGGCAAGGCTGGTCTACCAACCCAACCCACTAGACATTTACAACTATCTATATATCCGAACCCGGATGTGTAATCAGATAGTGTTTCAAAAGCGCTCTTCTTTACTGTTCACGCTGGCTACCATACTCCTCAGCGAGAAGATATATCTTTTGCAAAAATCTTCGTGGCAAAACTATGCAAGGTTGGTATCATAACTATAGGTACATGAAACTTCACTTGTTCAGAGTATCGACCTGGCTCGCATATTTTAGGTGGCGTCTTTTCCTCTATTTATAGGTAGCTGATACCATAGTTTCCGCCGACGGTGCGCGTCCCGCTTAGTTCGGTAGGGAGAAGTCGCTACCAGACGTCCGTTTGGAAGAATGTGCACGTCCCTGGCCCCATCTGGGTTAATCCAGTAGGACTTCCCAGAGTGGAGAAGTCTGAAGTATTGCCAGGTTCCAGGTGCTGCGAAGCTTTAGATCTAACAATTCTGAACTCCATTCTCTAGGGATTCCAATCTTTTCTAGCTTTTCGTCCATTTCCCTAATTACGGCATATCAGGTGTAAATCTCAAGAGGTACTTCTTTGACCTTAAACTCTGAAAATGTCGCTCAGACTAGCACATCTATCCTTGATTTCTTGGGGAAAGAATTGAAAATGGCTACATTCCCATTCTCACAACGTTAGATTAATTCCGAAGGCTGCTCTAGATATCGTCCTTTGTCGTTGTAAATAGGACTGCTCGTCAAAACTTTGTTAATGTTGCAAGGCTCAACTGATTTGTACTAGGTACCTAATTCTCAAGAAGACGATTGACGTAACACCATGAAAATAAGATAAATTTGTCTTCACTTTTCTATATGCTTTCATACTTGAATAATAATATATCCTGAGTAACGGTAATTAATACCTAGCAAAATAAGGATCTTCCGAAACACCGCAGTTTAGTTTAACTCTTTCATTTTTTTCATTTAAAAATTAACGTAAAATTCGAAAGATTGTAGTTATCTAAACTTTATAAGGAGAATTATGCAATATGAACGCATGTCGGGAATACTTAATACGTGTCAGGATTACTAGAAACAATCGTTGGGCAAGCAGAGCTAGGAATTTCGTAATTCTTAATTTTACGCATCCTGCCGCTAAAAAAACTATTACATTATTGTTAAAACAATAGTTAACCATTATTATCGTAACGTACGTCAGGAATAACATTATAATTAGTTTTTAGATCGAAAAAATCGGTCGCATGAGTGAAAAGCTAAACATTTTCGGAAATTGGCCGCCATCTTGAATTCTGGACTTCCGGTTCAGATTTCGAGGTGCCAACATCGAATATTCGTGTTCAGCAGGTACCAATTAGTAAAAAAAGCCTTGTTGGCCAAATGTTGTCTGAAATGCTCCTAAGACAGAAAAACTTCGAAAAGTGAACCAGTCTATTATAAGAATATATCTTTTCACTGCTGCATTTAGTTATTTTTACATTAGGTACTGTAGCCTTCGTTTGCGTTACATAAGACTCTCATGTATACTAACATATACATATTTGTTATGTAAGTACCATATTTACTGTAACCTTCAGTTGCGTTACATACAACCCCCATGCAACGTAATGTTACATATTTGCTTACACCTTCAGTTGCATTACATATTACTCTAATGTAATGTATGTTTGTATATACGATACATAACTGGGTTGTTGTAACATTCCGTTGTGTTACTTATTACGTTCATGTAACATATAGATACATGTATGTTACATATTGTGACCAATTCGTTACGTTACACCGTTACATAACAGGCCTTTCTGAATATCTTCGACGTGTGCGTACAGGGTGGTTCAAATTCGTGACTACCATTGGGATCTTCGTAACGGTGAGAGATACAGTATAGGTTAAATAAGGGCGAAGTTACCCCTAACTGAGATATCACCGAAAAATGTCAAATTTCGTTTTCATTTTCCTTAGTCGGAAATTGACGGTTCCTGTTCTATGGGTACTTTTTTCCGAGAATCTGAATCTGTTGACAATTTCCATAACACGCTAGATGTAGACAATCGTCTTTCATTTCCAATTAGAAGGAGATACAGCGAACCAAAAAAAATTGCACTGCTACACAACGAACGCCTACGGGTCACTCTAGAGAGCAATATGGACAACTAATCCCACATTAATGGTACTAGTGGCATCTTGGATCCCTCAGTTACAATGGCAGCGAAACTTTCCCAATGACGTGACAAAAGTTTTGAGAGTTATTAAAAACGCTCCATCATATAAGGTAAATTGAAAAGTGGTTTGTTTGTGTCATCAAATATGAGTATTCATTTAGGAATCAGATTGTTTGGAGTGTATTGGGTACGTTTATCACGTTAACTACAAGTACTAGGCACTATAAATATGTCGTACAGTTTATTTTTCCTCAGAACAATTTCAACCATGTTCCGTTGGGTACTTCTTCTGACCGTAGTCACCGTCGCATCAGGTACGTTACCCTACTTTTAAAATAAATATAATTCAAAAATTGCTTTAACACCAGCTGCAAGACCACAGCTGCGCACACCTCCGAGACTGGATGGTAAAATTGTTGGAGGAAAACCCGTCAAGATCGAAGAATATCCATACCAAGTTTCTTTGCAACGTTACGGCAGCCATGTTTGTGGTGGTTCCATCATTGGACCGAACAAAGTACTCACTGCAGCTCACTGCACCAGCGGGTAATGAATAATCAATTTGTTTTTTACCTAAATTTAACGAATATTTTACAGCTCATCTGCAAGCTCCTTGTCAATTCGTCACTCCAGCACCTTCAGAGGTTCTGAAGGTGTCGTGATCAAAGTGGCCAGTATTGCACAGAACCCAGCCTACAATCCATCTACCATTAGTGATGACGTCACCGTATTAACTCTGGCTGAACCCATCAAGGATTCGGATATCGGTAAACCGATCGCAATGGTCGAAGCCAACGCAGCAGAAGGTGATCGTGAAGCAGTGTGCACAGGATGGGGAACCCTATCATCTGGAGGATCCTCTCCTCGCCAGCTACAAGCCGTTGACGTTAAAGAAGTGGACAGGAAAGAGTGCAACAAAAGCTACGGTGGTGGCATTACCGACACGATGATCTGCTTTGGCAGTCCAGGAAAAGACTCCTGCCAGGGAGATTCCGGTGGCCCACTCGTAGTTGGCGAGAAGCAGGTTGGAATAGTCTCATGGGGCTACGGGTGCGCTCATCCAGAATACCCCGGCGTGTACGCCCATGTTGCTCCTCTCAGAACCTTCATCGATCAAAACTTGTAACCTGTACACAACCGTTTAAATACTAATAAATGCGAAATTTTCTAATATTTTATTTATTCTGTGAACCTACGTCACGGCACTATTGCTTACGCACTCATTTATTTTCGTATCTTTATTGAGAAGCTTTCCATTATATCTTAAATGAACTCGTATGCTCGTTCCTTGCATTTATTTGAAGCACATTCCTTATACAAAGCTCTCTCGTTGGTAGATGCCAGAGAGTGATTTTAAATCACGTGCATTCTGATCTTGTGCCTGTTACAAGGGGTGTTCCTCAGGGATCTATCCTTGGACCCTTGTTATACACTCTTTACACCTTTAACTTGTTGTCTGGTTTAAACCATTGTAAGTATCATCTCTATGCTGATGAATCATATATATCATTCGTTTCCTTTTAGTGAATTGAATTCCTCTGTGGCAAAGATCAACGAAGATCTTGCAAGGATAGTCAAGGCATCGGACAATCACTCTTTGAAAATAAATGCAACTAAATCTTGCTTCATCGTGTTTTGTTGCGATATGTTCTTTGTGATGCACTGATTCTATCACGGTTCAATTATTGTGACGTGGTATATGGACCGTGCTTATTACTCAAAGACTGTGATCAAATCCAGCGTGTCCATAATTCACGTTTGCGCTTCATATTTGGAATTAGGAAGTTCGAACGGATTTCACATACCTTACCAATGCTAGGCTAGTTCACTCTTCTTTATTTTTTAATAAAATATTAAACAGTAAAATTCCCCCGTATCTCTACCGCAAAATTACCTTTCGTACAGACGTGCACCACTTAATTTTGAGGCACAGGGGACTTCTATCTGTTCCTATGTTTAAATTATCATTATTCAAACGATCTTTCTTATTCAACATCTGTAAATTTTGCAACAACCCCAAAAATACAAAATTACTGTATCTACCTGCTGCAGTCTTCAAAAGACACATCAAACATCGAATCATTAGAGAGCGAATGTGAATGCGAACGTAAGTGAAACCACTACGATGTTTCCGTTGCATCTCCAAACGATAAGCTGCCTGTCAATAATTGTTTATTTTACAAATAACTTAACTATTGCAGAATAACTTTATTTATTTGTATTTACATAAGGGGGTTTCAAGGGGAAGAACATATCCACGGGTTTACCTGACCTTGTGCTCATTGGTTATGGTGTAGGAACCATTATTTAACCAATAAAAACCATTATTATTATTATTATTATCGAAGAGCGATAAAGCAAAGTTCGACAAAGGGATAATTTTATAAGAATTTCTAGATTTACATTTGTGCTCTAATCTTGACAAACTGGTAGTGAACGTTCCGATATTTAGTGAAACATGTAGGTACATATGAAATAAACGGAATGTCCAAAATGTTTGGTTTAGATGCTATACGCCCATAAAAGTGGCGTTTATCTTCAATATTCTAGCAAATATAATTTTTCATTGGCATTAATCGCAGAGGATGGCATGGGAAAAGGTACCAAGTCATCTTTGTTTAATGCATTCACACCAGTGGATCGTTCCTCTAATAACAGTGCCAGCAGCCATTTTGCCATCGATAAAGTGGTTTGGGAGGGAAATTCATCTTTTAATGATATTATTAAAAAATATTCGACATCGAGGTCTTCTGAGTAGCCTCCAATACAATGCTTGCAGAGAGCCCCAAATGTTCTTCTACATACTTATATGAAATATTTTTAATGATATTATTAATCAAATCAATGAATCAAAATGGTGACCGCGGGACAAGGGCTCAACACCATGAACTTGGATTTAACTTTAGACTAACTCCTCCTTGATATCTAAAAAATAAAATTGCGCTCTCCTCTCTTATTGAAATGGCATGTTGACAGTCTCTCATTTCGATTGCTAGAATAATTGTGAGCACTTCGCCTATTAGTAGGAGACATAGGATAAAATTATAAAGAAACACACAAACACGTTCATTACTACACATTGCTATTACTATTGTACTGAAACTACCAAGATGCGAAACGGTTTGTACGCGTTTAGTTTTCCATAAAATGACGACTACGAAATAAAGAGTGTCGTTATACAAGGACGAGCGATACGAATTTTTAAAACTGAAGAGGTATTTGCTGTTAAGTTGAAATAAAAAATTCATTTCACAACGTTTTCCGGATCTTGTATGAGGCCGTATTTTTATTTGATCGTTTTAACAAACGAAATAAGCATTTGCCTGGTTTTATATGAATTGTAAAAAGTTGGTTATAAAAACAAATTACTTACATGTATCTCTCTCGGGAATATTTCCTTTTTCACTTTACAATGTCTTTCCGTATATTAAATGACACAAAATTGTGGATTTTTGTGATTTAATTCCGTTAGTTTCTTTATTACCTTACATGGGGTGTAATTAGTTTTCCTTGGATGGTAAATGCGGACACATCGTTTTAATGCTACTTGAACTACTTTCGAATGAAGATGCATGCAATATGGTTGACCAATATTCAGAAAATCGGCAGGTATTTTATTTTAGAGTAAGTAATAGATTTGCTATAACACCTAGAAATATAGCAGTCGAACGAAAATAATTAGTTAAAAAAAACTGTTCAGAATTAATAGCCCTTTCAATAATTCGGAAAACGTAAAAATCTTAAAAGAAATATTAGTCGCATTAATACTGTTAAACGATCAAAGGACGTGAAGAAGGTTTACCGAATTAATAAAATATTGGAAAATGTCATTTTTATTGTTGTTATTATTTAACGATCTACATCTTATAAGTTTTTATCGATGAATGTTCTGAGAGGAGCAACGTGGGCGTACACACCGGGATATTCTGGATGAGCGCATCCGTAACCCCAGGAGACGATTCCAACCTGCTTCTCACCAACTACGAGTGGTCCACCGGAATCTCCCTGACAAGAGTCTTTTCCTGGACTGCCAAAGCAGATCATGGTGTCGGTAATGCCACCACCGTAGCTTGTATTGCACTCTTTCCTGTCTACTTCTTGAACGTGAACGGCTTGTAGTTGCCGAGGAGAGGATCCTCCAGATGACAGGGTTCCCCATCCTGTGCACACTGCTTCACGATCACCTTCTGTTGCGTTGGCTTCTACCATTGCGATCGGTTTGCCGATATCCGAATCCTTGATGGGTTCAGCCAGAGTTAATACGGTGACATCATCACTAATTGTAGATGGATTGTAAGCTGGATTCTGTGCAATACTGGCCACCTTAATCACGAAACCTTCAGAACCTTTGTAGGTGCTGGAGTGACGAATTGATAATGAGCTAGCAGATGAGCTGTAAAATATTCGTTAATCTCGAGTACTAACTTAAAAGACTTTCTCATACCCGCTGGTGCAGTGGGCCGCAGTAAGTACTTTGTTTGTTCCAATGATGGAGCCCCCACAAATATGACTGCCGTAATACTGCAAAGATACTTGGTATGGATAGTCCTCAATTTTGACAGGTTTACCACCAACGATCTTTCCATCAAGTCTCGGAGGTGTGGCGCGCTGTAGTTTTGCACCTGATGTTAAAATATTTATGAACATACAATTTCATTTCAAAATGGTATAACTTACCCGCTGCTAAGGTGACTGCGGTTAGGAGAAGTACTAATCGGAACATGGTTGAAATTGTTCTGAAGCAAAATAAATTGTGCGAAATATTTATAGTACCTAGCACTTGTAATTATCATGATAAACCAACCCATTACACTTAAAATGATCTTATTCCTAAATGATTGCTCATATTTGACGACACAAATAAACCACTTTGCAACTCACTTTAAATCGTTCAATATGATGGTTGAGTGTTTTTGTTCTAAAACCTACTACCTATAATTGCCATAATATATTTTTAGCAGGGATTTGAAGGGTTTTTTTAATAAGTACTTTGTTTTGGATTTTTTAATAAATCATATTGAATTCCATTATTGAAGCTATTGGTGCTGGCTTTTCTAATCTACACTTCATAAGCCAGGAGGGAATGTATACTGTATACGAATTTGTTTGTGCACTTTATGTAAAATACCAGCGAGGTTAACGACGCTACAACATTTAAAACCAAATAAACCGATACAACTAAATATCCTCAGTATTATAATCACTTTTAACGACAATTTATTTTAATCCAGTTTTAATCTAATTGCGTGTAAAATTGGCTACACAGGTACTTAACACCCATTCACAACGACAATTACATTTGCAACACGATATTAAGATGTGTATTATCAATTATTATTTTTGAAAGTTTTGTGAAACTTTATTCAATTAGAAGCCGAAAGAAATGAAAGGGTGTGCAGAGACCCGTGATTTCTACAAATTAACGAATGGCATGTTTGATGCTTTGAACTCGGAACCGTGAGCAGGTACATGAAAGTCTCACCCCAAATGGACAAGATGTTAAGGTTATATCTTCCATTTTTGTCAATTTTATATAAATGCAACTCGCTGTTAATTGATATAATATCCTAAAAAATTACAACGTATGGATTATCTTGATTCAATACATCAATGCTAGATCTATTTCAGATCTTGGGAGACGCTTTAACGTGGCTTAATGACAGATAATTGGCGTACAGTAACAAGGAAATATCCGCCAACGAATTTCTGACTACTCAATCTACATACTCGTGAAGACTCTCACCCGGAGGATGGCGCTCTACCAACGTAGCCGAGGGCTATTTAGAAGAATCAATCATAAAAAAGTCAAGTTTCTAACCAAATTATATGCGGAATGCCCTCCACAAATAAGGTTTCTGGAAAACATCAAATGAACTCTACAAACATTGAAAGTACAGGTTTCAATGTTAATCTTCCTCACCTTTTTCAGGTAACATTGCTTTCAACAATGTTACTAATTGCACCTTTAACTCCGGTTCTTCCACTAGCACTGAGAATATCAAGTATAGTATAAATAAAGTTAGTTGTAATTGAAAGGTATTTTATTTACTTATAAAAGTTTACTAATATGGAGTTTTTTCCTCCCTTAGGGTGGAAAAGTGCAGCCTTCGACCCTCAAAACGGGGCGAGAAATGATATTTTCTTGAGGTAGTAGGAGAACTAATTAATTCTCATACTCGTGTCTTAATAGCCGTCATTAAATGCTCATTGCATAACAGGTGAAACATTAATTGCAATTAATTATACTTCAAATGAGATTACTTAAGATTTCTATACCACATTTATCCATAGTATTTAAAACAAAATGTTGCATCCAGCAACGAACGCCTAACGATGCACTCTAGAGACAACTAATTCCCACATTAATAGTTGCATCTTGGCTCTCTCAGTTACATTGACGTGACAAAAGTTTTGAGAGATATTAAAAACACTCCATCATATAAGGTAAATTGAGAAGTGGTTTGTTTGTGTCATCCAATATGAGTATTCATTTAGTAATCAGATCGTTTGGAGTGTATTGGGTCGTTTATAACGCTAACTACAAGTACTAGGCACTATAAATATGTCGCACAGTTTATTTTTCTTCAGAACAATTTCAACCATGTTCCGTTTGGTACTTCTTCTGACCGTAGTCACCGTCGCATCAGGTACGTTATCCTACTTTTAAAATAAATTCAATTCAAAAATTGCTTTAACACCAGCTGCAAGACCACAGCTGCGCACACCTCCGAGACTGGATGGCAAAATTGTTGGAGGAAAACCCGTCAAGATCGAAGAATATCCATACCAAGTTTCTTTGCAACGTTACGGCAGCCATGTTTGTGGTGGTTCCATCATTGGACCGAACAAAGTACTCACTGCAGCTCACTGCACCAGCGGGTAATGAATAATCAGTTGAGTTTTTACCTAGATTTAACGAATATTTTACAGCTCATCTGCTAGCTCATTATCAATTCGTCACTCCAGCACCTTCCGAGGTTCTGAAGGTGTCGTGATCAAGGTGGCCAGTATTGCACAGAATCCAGCCTACAATCCATCTACCATTAGTGATGACGTCACCGTATTAACTCTTGCTGAACAAATCAAGGATTCCGATATTGGCAAACCTATCGCAATGGTCGAAGCCAACGCAACAGAAGGTGATCGTGAAGCAGTGTGCACAGGATGGGGAACTCTATCATCTGGAGGGTCCTCTCCTCGCCAACTACAAGCTGTGGACGTTAAAGAAGTGGACAGGAAGGAGTGCAATAGAAGCTACGGTGGTGGCATTACCGACACCATGATCTGTTTTGGCAGTCCAGGAAAAGACTCTTGCCAAGGAGATTCCGGTGGACCACTCGTTGTTGGTGAGAAGCAGGTTGGAATCGTCTCATGGGGCTACGGGTGCGCTCATCCAGAATACCCCGGCGTGTACGCCCATGTTGCTCCTCTCAGAACCTTCATCGATCAAAACTTGTAGTCTGTAGCAACCCTTTAAAAACTAATAAATGCGACATTTCCCAATTAATATTTTATTAACTCAGCCAATCTACCTCACATCACTATTGTCAAATACTGAAAATATGAAATCCTGACAAGGTGCCCAGTCATGGCGAAAAGAAAAACAATTTTGGGAACAATACAAGTGAAGTGAAGGTGATTTTTTTCTAAATCGTTCACGTCGTACGATACACTGCGCATGTCTGAAGCACTCCCCCACTTTTTGAAAATTTGTCACGGCTTAACCGAAATGGCGCTAGCTTTAATTCAAGTGGCGCAATTGAGCGCATAACCAAATGTATCAGGTGACCTAGTTACAAGGGACAAAATACGTACTGGGGGGGCTACGTTCACTTGGCCCCCCCAAAATGTTTTTTCGGATTTCTAAAAAACGATAATGGCGCAAGAGTTATTATCGGTGGCGCATATGAGCGCATAACGAGCGCATTCATTTCAAAATAATACGACTATCAAATCTCTCAGTGGGGGGGCCAAGTTAACGGACCCACTTAATGACTACTATACTATAGGCGTTTCGTGAAACGATGAATTTCACTAAAAGACTACGACTACAACTTATACTTTAAACATACATACGTAGGTCTAGGCACTGGTACAAGGTGAACGTAGTATTCTCACTTCCTCTGGAAATTGCGCCATAAATGAAAGAGGCAACCGCAACAGCGCATTATTAGAAAAAACACAAAGATGTCGTTATACAAAGACGAGCAATACGAATTATTAAAACAAGTATTTCCTGCTTGTATAAGACCTTTTTTTTGTTTGTCTTAACAAAGGAAATAAATATTTGCCTGATTTTGTATGAACTGTACAAAAGTTATATCTAAAGAAAAATTATTTACTTGTATCTCTCTAGAGAATATATTCTTTTCCAACTTTACAACGTCTTTCCCTTATGTTAAAGGACACAAAAAATATGACCTACATAAATTGTGCATTTTCGTCCTTATTCCGTTTTTTATATTACATGGGATATAATTAGTTGCTTGGGTTGTGAATGTAACACATAGTTTTAGTGCCTCATATATGTACAGAACAATCCACTAATTCCAACAGTAAAATCAACTTTCAGTTACAATGCAGTTACTAAAAGACTAGAAACAAACGACTGACGGCATTGATTTCTACGTTAAAAGTGCGTGAATACTACTAAGGCCATTTTATTCTAGCTTCAAAAATAAAGGAGTTACAGCAAATTGAAGGAATCCGCCATTTTTCAGTTTTTGTCTTTAGTGAATAAACAAAAGACAGCAGCTTATTTCTGGCAACGGTAATGGAATAAGCATGCAAAAAAAGGTGACGAGTACCTAAACAGTTTTCGTTTATCTACGCTAATAAGAAAGTTGCCCATTTAATCGCATCGAAATTGGACCACACTGTACATAGCTTGCTTGAAATTATTTGTGAGTGTAACCAAATTCATTCGTGCATTCTCGCCATCAACACCACCAATGCTGAGCTTTTGATAAAATTATTTTTTAATATCTTTAAAAATAAATGTACGACAGCACATTCTCGAAAATGATTTTTCCGAAAATGATTTTTCGGTTTTTGGGCCATTTCGCTATTTGTTGAAGTACAAGAAACTTTGACAGTGAAAATTAATCAGCATGAAATTTTGCGAGATCCCCATAGTGAAAATGAAAAAAAACTCACCCTGTATAGCCGGTAACGATATGAGGGAAATAAATCAAATGAAACTACATGCAAAAAGCATATTTTCAACATTCCAATTCCGCACATCGGCAGATAAAATACCGAAATGTGCTATTGCAGTTTATAGTGGAAACATTAAAGGATCTCAGTAAAGAAACAAATTCCTTTTAATCAACCTTTAAGTTTAATACGACCTCTTTTTTTGGAACGCCAAGTACAAGTGTCTCATGTCCATATTACTTTTTGTCAACGTGACATTGCAATATCTAAGTAATAAAATGTTGGAAAGTGTTTTTTATTATTTAACCATCGGTGTACACGTTACAGATTTTGATCGATGAAAGTTCTGAGAGAAGCAACATGGGCGTAGACGCCGGGATATTCTGGATGAGCGCACCCATAGCCCCATGAGACAATTCCAACTTGCTTCTCACCAACTACGAGTGGTCCACCGGAATCTCCCTGGCAAGAGTCTTTTCCTGGGCTGCCAAAACAGATCATGGTGTCGGTAATGCCACCACCGTAACTTGTATTGCATTCTTTCCTGTCTACTTCTTTAACGTCAACAGCTTGTAGCTGGCGAGGAGAGGATCCTCCAGATGACAGGGTTCCCCACCCTGTACACACTGCTTCCCGACCACCTTCTGCTGCGTTGGCTTCGACCATTGCGATCGGTTTGCCAATGTCTGAATCTTTGATCGATTCGGCAAGAGTTAATACAGTGACGTCATTGCTAATGGTGGATGGATTGTAGGCCGGATTCTGTGCAATACTAGCCACCTTGATCACAACACCTTCAGAACCTCGATAGGTGCTGGAGTGACGAATTGATAATGAGCTAGCAGATGAGCTGTAAAATATTTGTTAATCTCGGGTATTAACTTAGAAGGCTATCTCATACCCGCTGGTGCAGTGAGCCGCAGTAAGCACTTTATTTGGTCCAATGATGGAACCCCCACAAATATGACTGCCGTAATATTGCAAAGATATTTGGTATGGATATTCTTCAATCTTGACGGGCTTTCCTCCAACAATTTTACCATCCAATCTAGGTGGTTGTGGTCTTGCGCCTAGCGTAAAAGCAATTTTTAAACAAACCATTTGTTTTAAAAATATAACTTACCTGACGCGACGGTGACTGCTGTTAAAAGAAGTAGTAATGGGAACATGGTCGAAATTGTTCTGATTCAAAATAAATTGCACGAACTATATATACCTAGTACCCAGCACTCAACGATCAACGAACCCTACACTTTAAAGGGCCTATTTTTCAAATGAGTAATCACATTTTACGGTACAAACCAACCTCTCAGATTGAATTCCAAGGTTTAAGTGCGCCCTCACTCACTGCAAGCAACTGGTCGTAGATCAATCGTCAAATATTCAAAATATAAACTCGTTCGACAAGCTATTTGCCAATTTCGGGAGCAATCCAGAGAAGATGGTTTAAGACATTTTCTGGATCATATTAGCGCTTCTAAAGAAATTGTCAGGTCGTACTCCCATCCTATTTACAAAACGTTATCTCCTTAACAGACACTTAGGATAGTACCCACTTCTAATGTACTTCAAGATATTATTTTAAGAAGTGAATTACATCTAGGAGATATAAAAAGTACAGATTGCAAGTTCTTCAAAATTGCAAGACTAATCATTGAATCCAAAATTATGGCCCTAATATTTGCTATATTTGATCGTTTAATTACCAAGGTATTTCTCATGAAAGCAGCTTTCACAACACAAGCTATATTGATAATGTAATCATCACCACGACTAAGATCAGGTAAGCGCAATAACGTACGTTGAACGCTAACTTATAGGTACATTTCAAAGACTTCGTGGATCCTTCGCGGAAAAATACATTGCCGTTTCCCTATAGTGCGTTTTCCCTGGGACACACGGTATATGGAAATCTATTCAAAATATAGTATATGAACACATTTTTACGTAAAATTTATGTACATTATTATATGTAATATTAAGTTGTGTAGGGACCCTCCCCTATCCCAACCATTAGTTAAAGTTAGGTTATTATCGAGGTGTTAATTTATGCGGATATCGATTTCATTATATGTCGATTTTGGATGAAGACTTATTATTTTCGTCGAAAAGGTTTTACAGTTACACCTGAACTACTTCAGGCATTTAAAATTCAAAAGAGTCAAATTCAATTATTTTTAGCGCATTTCCACAAAAAAAAAAAATGCGCTATTGTGGCCACTTTGTCCGTCCGTCCGCTAACTTTGCGACGCTACTTGTTTTTTATCTTAAGAGCTATTGTTCTACTTTTTTCGCTATTTGGTTCGTTATGGTGTCGAGTCTTGTACCAAGGAAGGAATTTTTTCTGTACCGCTTACAAAAAAGTTATTGTAAAAAAAACAAAAAACCGTTTTTTACATGTTCCATAATTTTACACTTTTGCCGTTTATTTACGATCCTAGAGATCGTTTATAATTTTGCATTGATATCTGTCGCCTGCCGGTTGGTCTCTCCGTCTGTTCCTTTGTCTGTCTGTCCATCTATCTGTCCGTGTGAACGATAACTTTGTTTAGAAAAGTTCGATCGCTTTTACATCTCCGTTAGTTATGAACTGAATTGCATGAAATTCAATATGGGCATAGATTTAGCCATATAATACGCAATGCCGAAAGTTGAATCGAATCGATTCAAAATTCACAGTGCCCTTTTCGCATCTCGACCATTTATAAGCCGAATTGCAAACTTTTTTACTTATAAAAGTATTTGAATGAAATTTGATACATAGGCACTTGGAATAAAGGAAAATCAAACGCCAATTTCAAAATTTGGTGTTGCGCATGCGCAGTGCCAACTTTTTTATTTATGGAAGAATTTAAACGAAATTTGATACATAGGCACTTGGGATAAAGGTAAAGCAAACGCCAATTTCAAAATTTGGTTTTGCGCATGCGCAGTGCCAACTTTTTTATTTATGGAAGAATTTAAACGAAATTTGATACATAAGCACTTCGAATAAAGGAAAAATCAAACGCCAATTTCAAAATTTGGTTTTGCGCATGCGCAGTGCCAACTTTTTTATTTATGGAAGAATTTAAACGAAATTTGATACATAAGCACTTCGAATAAAGGAAAATCAAACGCCAATTTCAAATTTGGTTTTGCGCATGCGCAGTGCCAACTTTTTTATTTATGGAAGAATTTAAACGAAATTTGATACATAGGCACTTGGGATAAAGGAAAATCAAACGCCAGTTTCAAAATTTGGCTTTGCGCATGCGCAGTGCCAACTTTTTTATCTATGGAACTATTTAAGTGAAATTTGATACTTAGGCGCTTGGAACAAAGGAAAATCTAACATTAGTTTTAAAATTTAGGTTTGCGCATGCGCAGTTCCAACTTTCTTATTTAGAAAAGCATTGAAATGAAATTCTTCGCATAAACTGAAATTGAAGTAGCACGTCAACAATGGATTGCCCATGTGCAACGCTATCTTTGATATTTGTGGGCGGATTTTTACGATTTTAACAGAAGTTGCATCTTACAAATGGGAAATGAATGCAAGTGGAAATGCGCTTTATGTAAATCGTTTACGATTACTTTTTAACTTGTTATCCTTATGATTGGAAGGTCATTGGCGCCCAATTATAATACAGAATTTGGATTTGGTAACGTAAAAGCAAAACGTTACAGTTGGCGGCCACTTTAGATGGTAAAGTTCGCATTTATTAACATTGGCAATGTCTATGCTTTCGTATATGAGTACAAAGTTATGAGTTTCGTTCAAGGCGAAAAGCCAACAGTGTCGCATCAAGTGACGAATATACCGTACTCGACCGTGATCGGTAGGTTAAAGACAAGTCGCGGATACTGACGATACGATTGCTTGTTTTGTTAACTCCAATCTAAAATTCTCACACACCTCCTTTGAAAGTATTACGAGCAAGGAAGGAGCATACACACACCTTCAGAACCGTCGTAGGTACTGGAGTGACGAATTGTAAAACTGTATGCGGAAAAAATACAAAATTTTTTTTTTAGCCGTTATGGCTCTCTTAAACTTTTAACAGCCTCAAAAACCCTGACGATGGTAACGCACCGAAACCAAAATCGAAGGATTTGGTACATTAAAGGTATATGAAAGAATGCGCCAAGAAAATTCGAAAATAGTCGATAAGGAGACTGATTTAATATAGCGATTGATTGAATATTATATTTATATATACAGGGTGTTACATATAAGTATGTAAAAAAATTGGGTGGTAGAGAGGATCAGAGCAAGCATTTTTTCCAAATAAACCGAGGGTCCACCCCCAAAACAGTGGGTTTTTTTCAGATTTTGCAAAAATGTTTTCAAAATTCCCACGGCGAAAAGGGCGTACCCCTAAACGGGGCTGCGAGAAAAAATTATGATTTCCACTAAATTTGGTATCTGGGGTTTTTTGAACATGAAAATCGCGAATATGAAATTTTGAAAATTCGAAAAAAAAATTCTACTGCTAATTCTTCGCCGGCCAAGGGAAATGGAGAAAATTTCACGAAATTTGTTGTGTACATACTTGATGAGTTAAGGAACAAAATTGTCGAACAATTTTTTAATCACTTTTCAAACAAAAGTTATACTTATTTGAAGATTGGGCCTTCGGGTCACAAAGTGTCCCCTGCCTACTAGTGAGTGATCTAATTTCGGTAGTAGTGGGGGGTAGGGTAGTTCAGTGGAGGGGGGGGGGGCTAACATTGTCAAAATTGTCTCCGAAACATATTTTTCTTTCCGAAATTATGCTCTTTTCAATTCGTTATGAGTTTAAGCATTAACGGTTTTATTTGTATGTGATGTGGAAAAATGGAGAGCCAACGTTACAATATGCAGTTGTCCTTGGATCGTAGATACCGAGACAGTTTTAATGCAACATATATGTACAGAATACAAACTCCTACATCGTTGAAGGACTTGACACTGCACTTTTCATATCTCCTAATAGAATTACCTTCTTAAGATGATATCTTAAGTACATCACAAAAGAGTACTATCTTAAGTGTCTGTTAAGAAAATGGCATGTTACAATATGGCACCCGAGTATACTGACCTGGCAACTTAACAGACCCAAATTCCGGGCGATGATATGATACAAGAAAATATTGGTGTATCTTAAATAACATTCACTGACATAGGCGCAACTAGGCCCCCCCCCAAACCGAAATCAGCCCCCCCCCCCAGCCATGCGACATATCACAATTCTTATGCAGCTTTACTTATTTGCCCTGAAAACCTGTATTTTATTTTTGAACTCGCTTGCTACCCGAGCGGAAGATTGTAGGCGTCGGCGTCGATCAACTAGTGAGTCATCTCTCAGACTGCAATCATATTGCCAGTTTCTTCAGCAACCTGTGAAAAGTCATTTTCGGCTATGCGAAATTTATGAGCTAGTTAAGAACAACAATGGCTCAAGACCGTTTCTCTAGTATTTCTCTTTGATCTATAGAAAGAGATGTTTCCGTCGATTCCGAACAAATTGTTAATAAATTTGCAAAAAAAAACTAGAAAAATACCTTTACGCCTGTAGTAACATCAATAAAATTTACTTATTGTATTTTTTTTAATAATAAACGTGTAAAAAAATATAGAAAACGACCTTCTGGGTATGGTTACAGCATGTGGAAAACCAAATTTTAAAACTGGCGTTAAATTTGCTTTTATTCCAAGTGCCTATGTACATATCAAATTTCATTTAAATACCTTCATAAATAAGAAAGTTGGCAATTCGGTTTATATTGATCGAGATGCGAAGAGGGCACTGTGAACGCTGATAGATTAGGCTCAACCCTGGGCTCAACTTTTGGACTTTGCGTTTTATATGGCCAAAGCCATGCGCATAATGAATTTCATGCAATTCGGTTCATAACTAATGGAGATGTCAAAACGGCCTTCTTTATTTTTTGGCCTACATTGCCAATTCACGAACTCCGATCTACAAATATGATTAAAGAATCCACTTGCAAAATTTCATCGTAATCGGTCCATATTCGTTTACGAGATATCGTGCTAACGTACGGACAAACGGACTGACAGACGGAGAGACACCGCAAAATAATAAGTATAAGTATACGTACATTTATTGAATGTGCTGAGTGGCCCTGCAATCAATCGGTGAAAGGTTTACTTGTACCGTAAAATGTGATTACTCATTCGTTTATCGTGATAAGAGTTAGGTACTATAAATA